AAACCCTGAACCCTAAAATCCCCTAAACCCTAAAACCCTAAACCCTAAAAGCCCCTAAACCCTAAAAGCCCCTAAACCCTAAAACCCTAAACCCTAAAAGCCCCTAAACCCTAAAAGCCCCTAAACCCTAAAAGCCGCTTGGTGTGTGCTGTTCTGTATGTTTGCCTATTCAAGCTTATCTGTTGTGAGATACATCACCATCCGTCCAAACCTTTCTGCTGACTTGTGAAGCATGGAGCAATGTCCCCATGGGTAGTCAATGTACTCTGAGACCTTTACTCGTGGAGAGTGGGGTAATACGTCCCACTGTGTAGCAAAGGGAGCTCTGTGACTGGATTATGGGTGGTTCACGGTCTTAGATTGGTTCTTGGGCTTGCATGTCACTTCGGAGCTCTCCATGCGTGACGGAATTGTGTGGAGCCTTGCCTGCCTGGTGCGAGTGTGAGAGTCGAAAAGCCCCTAAACCCTAAAACCCTAAACCCTAAAAGCCCCTAAACCCTAAAACCCTAAACCCTAAAAGCCCCTAAACCTAAAACCCTAAACCGTACACCCTAAACCCTAAGCCCTAAAACCCTAAACCTGCAGTGGCCATGCAGAATCCTGTGCAGGCAGAGCGCCTAGGGCTGGGCCTCAAAGTCGATCGGCCGGCGAAGGAAGAGGGAGCTTCTGGCGAGGCGCGCTTTCGGCACCGTTTTAGGGGTTTAGGGGTTTAGGGTTTTAGGGTTGAGGGTTTAGGGTTTAGGGTTCAGGGTTTTAGGGTTTTAGGGTTTAGGGTTTAGGTTCTTGAGCTTCCTTGTGCCAGTCTTGTTGTGCATGTTTGTTGGATCTTGGGCCGGGTGACTGAACACATGTGTTTTGGCAAGGCCCTCGCGGGCTACGAAGCAGCCATTGTGCGAAACCTACATCGAATGCTGGGGTCGGAACGGCCGAAATTTACAAGGGCGGCCCAGCTGGTAGCGAAGGAACTGGCCGAAGCAGGTGGTGTGGAGAAAGCTCTCCGGGCGTGCCTCAGGGCGGCGGAGGTGGGCAAAGCATGACCCCTGAAAAGAGGGGGTTCAGCAGCCACCGATCTCGGTGCCAATGCGGCGCCTTAAAAAAAAAGGCCGTGGAAAAGGCTCGAAGCAGAGACTCAGTGCGCATGTCGTAGTGTTTTGCCCCCTATTCGGCTACCCAGACATCATGCGTGCGACCCGCCTTGGCCTCTCAAGGGCTCCAGCCGCCCCTCGCTTCTCCGACTGCACGCCAAGCCCCGCAGCGACAGCTTGAGATCCCAAAATGGCGATGAAATACCTCGGCGCCTATTTGATGGCGGTCCTCGGCGGGAAGGAGGCTCCGGATGCCAAGGACTCGAGGGTGCCGGTCCCAGGTCGTAAAGCGCTTCGGTTTCTTGAGCCCGGCTCAGGACATCAAGGCCATCTTGGAAGCGGGTGGTATCAGCCGCCTGCGGCAAGAGCACGCTTTCGGTATTCCGGTGCAGTGGTCAGTTGGGCACATGCTGAAAGATCCTGGCGGAAGTCTTTGGGATGAACCGTCTGCCCTCCATCCCAGGCTACGAAGATGAGATGATTGATGAGGCCTGCAAGCGGATGGAGGGCAAGCAGGCACGGTGAGCAGCATCTCGCATCATCGGGAACACCCCTGCAAGAGTTTCAGCACAATCTCCTGCTCCAGGTTCACGAGCTCATCTCGTCGGGTTTTGGTAAGTTCGCTGCCTGTGGGGGTGGAGGAGGCTTGGTTGAAATCTGCGAAGCGCACGTTTACGCTAGCCGCTCTAGCGTGCTCGTGCTCGGTTCTGCATGCAGATGTATCTGGTTACTTCCTGTTTGTCTTCTTGTACTGCTGCCGCAATTCTCATTGTGCTGTGTTCGGTGTTAGTCTGCATACTATTACCACGATTATTATTCTTATTCTTGTCTTTATTTTCTGAGCATTATTATTGTTGTATGTGTTTCTTATTTGTTATTCATTATCTCTGGAGCCAAGGTGGCGGTGGGACTGCCGCAGCTGCTCCAGCAGCCTCAGAAGCCACAGGTGCGGTGAAGGCCGGGCCTTGGGGTCCCTTGGTTCGTAAACACCTCTCTTCGAGGTAAACCCTAGAATGGTTTAGGGTTTAGGGTTTAGGGTTTAGGCCTTAGGGTTTAGGGTTTTAGGGTTTAGGGTTTAGGGTTTAGGGCTTAGGGCTTAGGGTTTAGGGCTTAGGGTTTCTAGAAATCCTAAACCCTGCAATGTCCGAGAGGGAGAGCCGACACCCTTGGTCAAGAAACGCATTTCTTGAAGGATGATCGCCGATAGAAGCTTGATACTGAATCATACACCCTCTGAAACGGGCGGATGGTCAAGGAGGTTTAATTTAATTTGCATTCTCTTAGCTTTGACCTTTCCTTTTAGCGAGGACCAACAAATCAATACGATCACGATTATGCTATATGCTATAAACCCAACACGCTAAGCCCTCTATACCTTAAACCCTAGTATTATGCTTGGCTGAGTCAAGCACCAGCAGCCGAATCTATCGTTAAGTTTATGCCGAAAATACGAGTACAGCCTTACAGATTACCGGGATTCCCCCAACCAGTTAGCTTCCTTGCTTCCTTCCCTACTGGCGTGCAGTCGAAAGACTGGACAGGCCCAAAAAACAGAGAAACCAAAAGCCGAAAGGGTTTGGGCTGAACACTCGAGCAGCCTGAGCGAGCAAACGCGTTTACTTGCACTGTTCCCCAACAACTGACAGACTCCCTCCCTCCTAGCCAGGCGGAAGGCAAACACAAAAGCCCTCATCCCATCCGCCAAGCTTTGACGACACCTCGAGCCCTCGCTTCTGCGTGCGAAACCGCCGCGAGAGCAGGAGGAGAAGAAGAAGGTCGAAGAAGAGGAGGAAGAGGACCCCTGGCAAGGGCGCTGGGGTCGAAATAGCATCCACTTCTTGCCGCCTGCTGTTGCAAGAATGTGGGGAAGTCCTGCATTCAGAAAACCCGAGTGATCCGTGGGGCTAACATGCCACTTAGATTTAGATAATTTGCTTCGTCCTATCCGAACTGTTGCTGTTGAATGATGTGTCGGGAGCTTTTCTTTTGGACGGAGGAGGAGATGGACTTCGACCTTTTTGGGTGAGGGGCGTAGCCTTCCTGGAGCCTGGGCCGGCGGAAAAACGACTGCTTCGGGTGTGGAGCTTACGGGTCCGGGCTTTCGGGTATAGGGGTTGGCTTGCTGACTTCCGGAGCCCCTACTGCCGCTGCCTCCTGCATGACGACGGAACTTTTGTAAAAAATGAGGGAACTGACGCCATGCATCACTACTTCAAGCTTCAAGCCACGTGCAGGGTCGCAAGAGAGCCGACCCCTCCCGAACACAACTAAAAGAGACTAAACACTGCAAGAGGGGATGAGGCATGACATATGCAGACATTAGTGTTCATTACAGTAGTTGCTTGCGAAGAAGCACCATCGGTTTCGACTTCCCTAGCTTGCTGAGGCACGGTTGGTGGTGCATAGTTCGCATGTCGGTGTGGATGGATGCGGGGTGAACCGCCTGAACTCCTAGAAGCTAGCCCATGTTACATATGGGGGTTTCCGAAAATAGGGGAGCCTAATATAGTACTCCAAATTTTAGGATCCTTATTATAAAGGACCCCAAGATAAGGTACCCCTAATTCTCGCAAACTCCCATATGGATACCAACTGATGGGTGCCACCCCGTGTCCCATGGCATGGCGCTTATGCCTGGCGCTCCGAGCAAGCAGGCGGACAGCTGCGTTGGGTGCTCCACAACTGCTCTTGCCGTGAGTGTCGGTAGGGGAGCTACTGCTGTTCAGTTCGGTGAGCTGTTACGGCACCACAGGAGCATGAGCTAGCGGCGGTCCTCGCGCAATCGACGTTCGTAGGAATCGTACTGATGGTCGTCGTCATTCTCGTCATGGTAGCTGCAAGCGACCGTCGCTATACGAATCATAGTCATTACCATTAACTAGTGTCTTCAATCAATTCATGCTTCGGTTGGTGCCCAACATACGCCGCTTCGAGCTGATGCGAGGCAGGCTGGGCCATCTATACAGGCACGGCCGGAATTTCCGCTACTTTTCTGCTTTGGAGAACTACGCCTTTGTCCTGTTGCGCGCAGTCGTTGCATTGGCTGTGGTGGCGGCTGCCGTCATAGCCTTCCGTCTTTTGCCAGAGAGCGGTGGCCACTTGGGCTTCACCAAGCGGGAGCCAGAGCTGTCTTGTGTTGGGGTGCGCCAGAGAGTGTCGCTGAGGCAAGGTTCAGCCGACACAGGTTGAGCCGACTGTACATGAGAAGCCGGCAGCGAGCCAGCCGCTGCCGCTGATGGAGCCCATGGCCTATACTCCTTTCGAAAGTGGTTTTGGAGCAGCAAATTCCCACTTGGTCACTTTTTCTCAGGCCTTCCAATGCACTGCAGCAGCGTGCAGTTCCCGAGGGAGGCGAGTGGCGGGTGTTGAGCTTGGCAGATCTGCGGAGTGAGCTTTTAAAGGATGCTAAGTGAGAAGTGAACGAGGTTGTCTCGCAGTTTCCGCGGATCTATGTGCCGTCCAGCCAGTTTCGAAACGGAGTGCCCCTTGAAGCCACCCGAAACTGCCGTCCCGTAGGTACTAGATGGTTTCCTCAGCGAGCTTGAATGCGAGATCTTGAAGCAACAGGTGCTGCGAGAGTATTGCCATGAAGCTCCGAGCCCTGTGCTTTAATGCTCTGGCATGCTCTGGACTCTTATACTTATACTTCATGCGTTCCAACAAAGCGTTGGCTCTGAGGTACCAGAGGATACGATAGAATACCCGAGAATCTGCGTCGGGTTTGCACTTTGTAAAGAATCCTGGAGAAAACGCGCCAACCCTAAGCACGAACCCCAGACCTTTTGCGTGTCCCATTCGCACGAATGACAAACAGAGGCGCTAATTTGAAAGTTCTTTGCCCCATTCACAGGTCTTCGAAGAAACCCTGCCTAGCGGACCCAGTCAGGCAATGCAGGAAGCAAATAGCACCCTAAACTCTCGCTGCTCTGCGTTTCTTCTGTCTAGCCGGACTTGTGCTGAAGCCTTGCCTGCTGAATGCGAGGTCGAATTACGAAAGACGAATTGTAAAGAATGCCAGATATAGCAGCCCTGAGAGTACAGAAGGGACTGTCAGAGGGCGTGGGTTTTTTACAAGCCCACTTCTGCGCATTTCTACGCATCGTTGTCAGCACATTAGTTGGTTTATGTCTTTCCTGATGGTGATGATGATAATGATGATAATGATGATGATGAGGACGATGATGATGGTGATGATGATGATAATGATGGTGGTCTTTACTACTACTACTACTACTACTACCACTACTACTACTACTACTATTACTACTATTACTACTATTTCTATTATTCTTATTATTTTTTATAGTATTATGATTGCTGTTATCACTATCATAATATATATATATATGTGTGTGTGTTATGATAACTATTATTGTTCGTCTTCTTGTTCTCATTATTAGTAGTGGCCTTCTTCTTCTTGTGACAAACCTATATAACTCTGCTGAAGCAAGCGTCAGGTCGCCGGCCGCCTGGAGCCTGCCAAGGTGGTTCAAAAGGCAGACAACCAGTACGATGAGCAGGCACTTGTGGGTTTAGGACAGCTTAGATTTTACGGTTCCGACAACTTCGGTGAAGAAGGATGTCAGGAGGGCCTTCGATCAGAGAAGAGAATGGCACATGCCTGTTTGTGTTTCGGTGTTTGGACAAGTGGGGAGTCCAGAATACTGTGCAGAGGTGGGCTTCTGCACACATGCGTGCAAGGTCAGTGTGAGGAACAACCGGCAGATTTGGTTGAACTACACCCAGGAAAGGGACGACCCGGCCAGGGCCTCGTGACCGTTTCCCACTGGAGGGCAGCATCACGGTAACCGTCTGCCAGTTGGCAGTTTCTCAGGACGTCTTCCACCTGCTCAAGCGAATGCATCGTGCCTCTCGCATTCCCGACGATGATGCTGAAGCTCTTCAAATAGGCCTCCATGCTTGAGCGGTGCAGAAGGTAAAGCAGACTTTTTTCACAAACAAGTCGCTGCCGTCGTCTTCTTGCAAGATCCATCTTTAGCTAGAGTAGCTAGAGAGCCTTAGACTGCTGACAAAGCAGCTAGCAGTAGATTGGGAGCTTGGCTTTGCAGGTCACTACGGCCGGGGCCTTTTGCCCTCTGCTGCGTCATCCAAAGAAGAACGAAACAGGGGCAGCAGGGGAAATGGGCACATCTTCTGTAGAAAGTAGAGTATACTTGACCTTCTTCCGAGGTGTCGGCGAGAAGTACGAAACACATCAGGATTCTGATCCTCGGAGGCTTGGACGGCAATTTGAAGGCAGACGCTGGAGACGCAGAGTGCGAGCGTTTGCCACTTCGACCTCCATCCCAGGAACGACGTGGCACGTCCAACACTGAGAACTCGCTGTGGCCAGCCTAAACCCTAAACCCTAAACAGTCGTGCAGAGTCTTTACTTCGGCATTCCGACAGAGTCTCTAGTACTTTTTTGCCTGCTAAGCAGAGACATGCTCGATTGTCAGGCCCGGCGACCCTGATAGTGTGCCCTGTACATGTGCAGCTCCGCTAGTCCTTGCCGCAGACTGGAAATAGAGTTGACTCAGGAGGAGCAAGAGCTGCTCTGTCGCTGTCTCCGTTTTGCTTGAAGCTGCTGTTCACTTCGAAAACGTAATCTTCTGTGTCAGGTATCTCAACGATGTTGAGGACGGGGGCGAGACCCTGTTTCCTCTTGGATGCTGTTCTGCAAAGGGCCGTGTTGTCAGGTGGGTTAGGATGATGCCGAAATCGGCAGGCTATCTTGTCATTCTGGCAATCATGCCGCACCAAGGAAATCGACACGACTGCACAATGCAGTGGAGAGCGGCTGCCGATGGTAGTTCGGTGCTTCCCGGCCGACTAGCCTTCGAAGATACTGTGCTTTGCCTCGGCATGGTATGAGGTTTGGCGCGAGTGCCTGCTGCGCCCGGAACCCAACTGCAGCAGTTAGCACGCTATTTGGCCTTGCTAGTAGGCATCAGTGGATTCCGCAGGTGGGAGCGAACACTGAACAAGAGAAAGTCAGTAGCTCTACTACCAGTCCCATTTCAATGCTCCGTGAAACGCTGCAAGCCTGATGCAGGACAGGAGCGACCTCTTGCGCGTTTCCCCAAAGAAGGGTCGCGCGGTGCTGTCTTCGTCCCAGAAATTCATGGCTTGCGATTTTGTGTTTGATGGCTGGTTGAATTGTCGATCTGGCCAACACCAATGCATCCCCAAATCCTACCCAGGCGCTCCAGAGTCACTGTAAGTCGTTATAACGTGCATGTCAGCATCATGAGGTTCTTCAACCACGATGCAGCGCAATTCTCAGGATACTCTTGTCCGATGGTAGTGCCCACCCCCTTTCTGCTCCCAAACCCTATTCTGAAGGCTGATTATTGAGGCCCCCTATAGTACGGCCCTGTTCGGAAGAGTCTCGAAGGTACCGCTGATGATATAAATCTTGCATTACACATAGTAAGGAGTATACCATAATTCCCATAGTTTAGGATCTTTGAGGTAGTGCAGGATTTATATCATCAACAGTAGTGCAGTATTCGGTGTCGTGCGTGGCAACGCGAGGCCGGGAGGAAGGATCGCATGGCCCAGCACGCCGCCTGTCCCGTGAAACAAGGCCCCTTCTGGGGCTGCTAGGGCTGCTTGCTCCAACTCCGGGCGAAGTGGAAAGCCTGTTGCAAAAAGGGTTGCTGTCTTGCGGAGTTTCCCGGCTGGTTGCGAGAGTCCTGGATGCAAAAAAAGGGTTTAGGGTTCTTGCCCCGTGAAAAAAGGCCCCCCCCTCTGGGGTCTCTGGGAAGAATCCAGCAGACCTGGCCCGGTGCCGCAGAGTGTAGAGGCTTAGATAATTATCAAGACTGTTTTGGAAGTCCCTGATAATCATAATCATCATCATAGTCATAATGAAAAATAAATATTATCATTGTTGTTATTATTGTTGTTCTTATAGTTATTGTAGTAATTACAGTATAATAAACCCCTAAAGCCCTATCACAAGAGCTGAAGGTGCCCTAGTTGATGAAGCATCCGGGGCTTCGTTGAGACACGCGAAAGTGGTAAAACGGCCCCGTGAAAGCTATTTGAGTTTAGGGTTTAGGGTCCTGCGAGGGATTTGGCCGGGCGAGCTCAGTTCAAGCCTGTGGGAGGGTCCTGGGGCCTGGAAGGCAGGCCATGCAGCTCCTTATCTCTGCTCGTTGCGGGGTGTAGCTCCCCTAGTTTGCCGAGGTTCCAAGTCCACGGATATCCGCGGATGCATGTCAGACTGAGGATGCAGCGCTGCTGGCTGGCTGGCCGAGCGAATTCTGACCTGGATGCAAGCTTGCACGCAGCAATCTTGGACTTCAAGATTGCGAAGCTGATGGCCAGCAAGCAAGCCATGGTAAAGAGTAACTTTTGGAAGTTCATCACTGAGAAGAAATACATGGACGAGAGGCCCCGATGTGGTTCACGCTCCTGCACCTGCAGGTCCCCCAGAGGCTCCTGTGGAATGGCCCCTATGGCCTTCTACGGAACCTGTGGCAACATCGGGCTGAAGAACCCCATGTTACCCATGTTTCGCAGCTTTTGTGCTTTCTACAGTGAGGTTCACAAAGCGGTAACCACAGGTGGGGAAATGAAGCGGAAGTGCGTGGTCTCGAATGATTGCCCTCCATGGCCTAAGTTCGACTGTGGCGAGCAGAAAGGCTTGTTAGTTGAGGCCGGTGATGCCCAAGCGCCGCGTCTGGGCAGAGCACAGCTGCGCGCTATCACCGGGAAGCTTGTGAAGGAACAATTAGAAAAGGTTGCGAGGGACGATCCATGCAACTACCGGTGGCAGGGGAGAGAAATGTGGCAGGGGAAGCAGCGCTGGCCGGACCCCTTCGTGCCGGTTTCTACGACTGGGAGGCTAGGACTACTTGCTCTTGAATCTCTGCTGCACCCTCCTTATGTCTTCCAGCTCCAAGGCAAAGTATACCACGGAGCTTATCCTCTGTATCGCCATTGGCACACCATGTTGCCCAAGGACACAACAGAGAGGCCCATAGTGTGGGCATGCCCGGGAAAGAGTGGAGCGAACAAGGCTTGGCAGCGCCCAGCAGCTGCCAATGACGGGTCTGTTCGCCGTCGGCGGGCTTGCGGAGAAGCATCGTGCATCATCGTGCCGTCGTCGCAGTGGTGTGGAGTACCTGCCGGCAGGCTGCGTCAAACACAGACTTGCCCGTGTTGAGCTCTTCGATAAGATATCTGAAGTGGTGTTGGGACATGGAGTGCGAAACATGAGCCACAGAACGCAGAACTGGCTTTGAACGCCGAACTAGAGACATACCTGAGCCAACGCAGCTGCATGCTCGTCTGTGAGGGCTCAAAGCCGTCCCACTAAGTTTGGGATCAGGGTCTAGTTCTCGGACATCATCAACAGTGAAGGCAGGGCTACACGTGATTGGATGTACAACAGATAGTCATGTTCAGTGGCCGCACCGTATGGCAGAATCATGAAGCGTTTTGCATGAGATGGCGACGGAGGAGGTTTTCGCTTCGCCGTCGCCTCTGTACTCACCCGCACCGCGCGGGCGAAAACCGTGGAAGCTGCTCGATGTGAACCTCATAATCATCGGTAGCGGTCCGTTGGTCGAGCAGTTGCTGCGGCGGCGGGTGGATGCTGGTGGGAGGGCATGCCTCCTGTGGACTAGCGTTCCGCCACGCCCTCCCCCGAAGTGGGCAGGGGCATGCCATGATGAGCCTGATTTTGACGAAGAGACTTTTACATGGCAGCCTCCCCTGCCAGGGCACGGGCCGGAAGGCCCGGAGATTCAGCGCGTGCGCCGTTGCTTCGGCAGCGCCTGGTATGGTTTCATTCGCGCAGGTCCAGATGTTATCGGACTTGCAGACGGCGAGCAGTATGAGCTGCTGATGGAAGGCCAGACTTGCGTTGGAGTGCGAGTTCTCGCCGATGACGTGGTGTCGTGGCAGTTGTCCGGTGCGGTGCTGCTTGTGGGACCATGGGAATCCACAGGCGACACCCAGCCTCCGGCACAGGAGAGGGGGGAAGCCTGGGTATTGTCTGTTAATGTTGGTGTGGAGCAGGAAGAAGCAAAGCCAATGATGTATATTGATGGAGGCGGACCAGCAGTCATCTGTCTATCTGCTGCTTACTTTTTGGTTTCTGCATTGCTTACACACAGCCTCGTTAATGCTTATGAGCCAACGCTACAGCCGAAAAATATTGATTGGTGGTGTCTTATACCGCGCACCATGACGTGGAGTGCACATGTTTGGTCGCATTACTTGTCAAGGGGCTTGCTCGGCTTTCCCCAGACATACCGCACTGCCATGATGTCTGCTGTGGCAGGCTTTGCTGTGTGGACTGCGTGGGAGCTTCTGTTCCTTCTACAGATCTCGAGAAACGAGTGGCGAGTACAGTACTTTGTCATGAGTGGCATCGGTTTCCAGCTGTCGGAGGTTACTGAGGTGGTGCTGAGCTTCTGGCTGCAGCGCAGCCGTAAAGTGTTGCCACACCTCGGCGGTAGAGCACAAGATGTCAAGAGCCAGGCGTTCTTTGCGGCTTTCTTGTTTTCGCTGCACATGCTCTTGCTCTTTTCGCAGTTCATCATCATCACCGTTTATGTCTACGTAGACAGGACTAGCACCGTGGCTGCAGGGCTCTTCCTAAGCTTAAGCACATCTGGTTCAGAGCTGCTTGCCACCAGCTGGACGGAGACTTTCTACACCAAGTTGGTGTGGCCACGTGCTGGCGATCAGCCTGCGGTTGTATGGGGTGACCAAAATTCTATTGCAACTGTGCTGCTTGCCTGGGCTCATTCCATGGCAGAAGGCAGCCGACTCGTGTGCCTCCTTTGCGCCGCTGCACGTAGTACTTCTTGGCATTGGGGATGGTTTGCCAACGTGGCTTTAATGATCTTTAGCAACCTTGGTGTTCGACATGGGTACCATGTCAGTGCCTTGGTTCGGGTGCTGCCGTGGGCAGCCCGCTCTTTGAAGCCATGCTGCTTTGCACTGATTCTTCGACAGGCACGTTTCATGTGCGGCTACTACCGCTTCCTGGCCATTGGCACATATGCTCTTTGGCGTGTCTTTTGGCTTGGTGCAGAGCCACTCTTCAACACACAAACCCTGGTGCTGTTTATTACAGTCCTGGTGGCGGAGGTCGTGGAGGATGCTGTGGTGCTGCGCCGCTGGCTGCCGCTGGATGTCTGGCGTGATCAGCTCAAACACTGTTATTGGGCACTTCATCCTTTTCATCCACGCCAGGCGATGTGCAAGGACCACCGCGGGGTCCACGTGAAACTCCCACCCCTGCGTTTGCACGGGGCGCGTGTGCTGAGTAAGCCTCTCAACGTACCCTTGATCCACATCACCGCCAGCATAATTGTGCTCTTGATGTGGCTGCCGCTAGGTTTGGGCTTCATCCTTGGTTTTTGCCCTCAGCCAGTCCTGACAGACCGGCTACTGGCCGAAGTTTTTGTGTGGCCGAGGCCGTGGCGATGCTGATGTTCTTACAACAGCGCTTTCAGATTCTCCTAGGTCCTAGGTCCTAGACGGTAGCGAAATGCCAGCAATTTTCCGCACCCGAGCACTTTGGCGGAACTCAGGATTGACTTCGCCAAATTCTGGGGTGCTCGTGAGTCGACTACTGTGATGAATTATCCATCGGTCCTCAGTTGCTTCAATCGCACGCAGCCCTCATGAGCTAAAGTCACGCCTGCACTAATGTTTGACTGCAGGGCGGCTTTTTCACATGACTTCTGCTGCCTGAAAGAGCGAAGCTCTTTGAAAGAGACTTCCACTCAAGGATCCAATTGACCGTCCCTGCGTGAATCTTGTGAACCCGTCAAAAGCAGACTCTGGCTGCAGTGCGCCAGTTCTTTGCTGCCCTGCTGGAGATGAGCGACATTCCCAATCCCACACGTTTCCAAATCGCCGTGGTTGCTTAAGGTTTAAGGTGTTGCCAGCTGTGGGGTCATGCGCTGAAGCGTTCAGCACCTCTGACGGTCAGTAGTGCTGCTGATGGCGAGGGATGCTGCTGTGATCACCACCGCTGTAACTGCTGTGTGTTGGTGTTTGACTACATTTGTACATATCTCGCAGCTGTATAGTCCTATGGTGAATACCAGAAGATAGTAACCGCGCTCGAAGCCCATGAACAGTTTCAGTTAACACCACCATCACCATTGTCATGTTCGTCATCATCAGCTTCAACATCGACATCGTCAGGATAATTGGTTATTGCTCGGGCTCACCAGGAACAGCACGAACACTTTTTTGTTTCTCGTGCAATGCGCAGAAATCTAGACCCTAAACTAATACACGCGAAGCCCACGCCAGGCGGACATCCTCGAGGAGCATGAGCTCAGGCAGCGTACAGCCCTTCCCCCCAAAACTGGGAATAAGATGGACGTGGTCAGCGCCGTGAATTTGGTGGACAACACCCCGCTGGTCATCAATCGCCTGGGGATCACGGCCGTGGTCTGCGTGAAGGAGTGCGAGGCGCTGAAGCCCAATGAGGCCTACGGTGTGGACCGTAGGACAAAACGCCCATGTGGGCGCCTCCTCGCCGCACCTGGGGAACAGGTGCCCAGCCAACTGGGGGCTTCTTGGAGAGACCTACGGCAATGCTTGGATGGTGGCTGTCGTTGCAGGTATGATGACCACGATGATCTGCAATTCCGGCTCGGCAGACGGGGCCCATGCCTTTCGGCGATTCTTTGTCCTTTGCCTGCCGTGGCCAAGGTGGCCCTCTTGCCAAATCTCGAGACGTGGCTCGGGATCTCCTTGGCGATGGGAGTTGCTACAGCCCTCTGCAGTTCTCTTCAAGGTGGTGCCACCATAATAGAATAGAATAGAATAGAATATAACATATATATATATATATATATATTATATACATACTTATAATATGTATGTATATATATATATATGTATATATATATATAGATAGCTATGGAGCCGAGTCTGGAACGGTCCTCATAACAGGAGACAAGATTTTTGAGCTCAGAGGCGGCGTCTTCGACGTGGCAGAGGGCTACGATGATGGTCAGATCGGATTGCGTTTCGATGAAACTAGGGTTTAGGGTTTAGAGTTTAGGGTTTAGGTGAAGACCAGCAACACCAACTTCATTGGGAAAGACGCCGAGGGCCCAGGGCCTAAGATAGACGCCCGAGCTTGCTACTTTTGAACTCTTGCTCTTTGGACTCCTGCACAGCTCAATTCACGCTTTCGAGCTGCGTAGGAGTTGCGTTCATGGGCCAGCCGCGCCCATGGCCGTGGTACTGGACAACGGACAACGGTCCAGTTTTGCTGTCTTAGTTAAAGCTAGCCAGGGCATTGCTTCAGTTTTCCTTTTTTAGCCAAGGTGCTCCATGCACTTTTCGAGTTTCGAACCTCGACCGCTTAAGGCAAAAGCGGCCGAGCAGCCTCGACCTGCAAAGTCGAAGTGAAGTGCAAGTAGAAAGCCCAGATCGGAAGGTGAGAAATGGATCGCGCAGCGCTGGTTCCGTTGCCTGGCTGCCGTCTGCCTCATGGTCCAATATCGCTGTGGCTTGAGATTGGGAGAATGGGGGGAGGATGTCGATGTCGACACCGATTGTAAAACAGAACTCGAAGTCATAAGGCCGGGTTTGATGAGAGATTTACCTTCGAAGCGGTGCACTGCCCCTTCTGTCTTCGCCGTGCCGACAGAGTGCTGTGCGATCGGACTCGGGGGTTTGGGTTCGCCAGCCGTGGCAGATGCTCATGGGAACCCCCGAAACATCCAGGCTACGAGCCCTACCAGCGGTTGGTGCATCCTCTGGATCTACGCAGACGTCTCAGTTGTTGGGATGGAAGCTTGCATGTATCATATATATATATAGTGCATTCCTGTAATTATGTATATATAGAAAAAAACATGTAAAATGCATGGCCACACTCTATGTATAACCATGTATATACGTGCATGTGTCTCTGTATGCAATATAATCGTACGTATGTATGCGCACGGACATGATTGTGCTGTGTCTCTGCATCCATTCCTTCATGTATGTATGTATCTATCCCCATCTATCTATCTATCTATCTATCTATCTATCCCTCTAACCATCTAGCCTTCCATCCATCCATCCATTCATCCATCCATCTAGCCATCCATCCATCCATCCATCCATCCATCCATCCATCCATAGATCTACATACGTATCTGCATACATACAAGCATGCACGCCTCAGTCTAGCATGGTCTAGCAAGCTTCATGCTCAGGATTCGATGGGCTCCCCCTGGCACCGAATCAGTTCACTTCCCCCAGGCCAATCCCACCATGTGCTGCTTGACGCAGTCTCAAGTTGGCCAAGCCTGGTTAGGTATGTGCTTTCCCTCTGCTCATCATACTTGGGCCTTGCATCAGATGGACAGTAGAGTCGCGTCGCTGTCGTTGTTCGAAGCAGCTGCGAAGCCATGCTTCCACCAGGAAATGATGCAAGGGATGTTCCACTACTTCCACTGCTTGACTAGAAATGTGTTGAGGAAGTGCACAGCAGTGCAGCCAAAAAGCTACATAGCTCTCTCTCTCTCTCTCTCTCTCTCTCGCTCTCTCTCTCGCTCACTCTCCATATATATACATATACAATAACAACAATAATATTGATAATAGATGTATCAGCCAATCAATGCCGCCTGTGTTGGGAGCCTTTCTCTTCCGCATTGCGCCTTCGAACCCTCTGTGCGCCTTACCCACTGCACTTCGTCTACGATGTAGGCATGGGTCTCTTTCTCTCGCTCTGAGGGAGGGTAGTCGACTAGGGGGCTCTTAGGATGAGGTGCTCGCTAGTTTATGGGAATTAAGTTGCAGGTCTTAGGCTTTGGAGGGATTGCCTTACTGTAACTCCAGCTCGCTTCCAGCTCTCCTTCCTGCAGCCGCCTGCGTGGACAGGGGTGACATCCGAACTTTGTCACAGAAGACGCCGAACATCTATGTCATCGAGGACTGCGCATGAGCTTAGGGGCTTAGGTTGTCTTGTTCGGCGGGCTCTTGGACGCCTGGAACAGCTCTGCTCTGAGAGGAGTTTCTGAGCTCCGAAGAATGCGATTTCCTCGCTGACTTGGGGAGAAGTCGTCCCGGCAGGAGCCTCAGGGCCCGGATCCCTCTGCAGCTGCAACGCCTGGCATCAGATCCCCCTCTTTGATCCAAGGACTCGCCGAAGAAAGCCTTACCAGACACTTGGCCCGGTGCTCAGATGAGCCCACGGCGAAATACTGATGATGCTATTACTATTACTACTACTACTACTACTACTACTACTACGGCTACTACTACTACTACTACTACTACTCCGGAAATATTATTCCTTCTACTACTGCTAGCAAGACCACAACGACGACGCCGACGACGACTTCTGCTACTACTGCTAACAGGATCATCAGCTCGGCTTTGCGCGTTCTTGCTCATCTCAGTTCTGTTTTCGACTCAGCTTATCCTAAACCCCAAACCCGGAACCTGAACCCTGAACCCTAGACCCTAAACCCTAAATCCTAAACCCTTTTTCCCTAAACCGACGACCCGAAGGCAAGGAGCTCCGTGCCGAGGTGACCCAGGAAGACGAAGCAGGCAATGCGTCTTTGGAGGGCATTGCCAAGCGCCCGACTCCGAGCGTCCACAAACACATGCCGACCTTTATGGTTTAGGGTTTAGGGTCTTAGGGTTTTAGGGTTTAGGGTTTAGGGTCTTAGGGTTTTAGGGTTTAGGGTTTACGAGTCCGAAGGCTTCTAGCTTAAAGCTGTNNCGGGTGTGCCTCTTGTTTCTGTCCTGGTTGAGTCGCTGCAAACCAGATGCAAAAAAGGGTTTACGGTTTAGGGTGTATATACATAGACAAAGGCAGCGAGTAGCCCTGCGAGATGTCGCCCTCAGCCGCTTCAGCCTTAACAGGGGACGGGGGAGTGCACATAGGAGGCTTCAGGGGGGGCACGGGGTAGAGGGGTAGGTAGAGGGGTAGTTTGACGGAGTCGGCATTTCTAGCGGAGAGTGAGAAATGAGCAGCCGTTGGCAGTGTGATCCACCTGTGCCAATCCAATTCCATGCCGAGCCTGCATCCAAAGTCCCGGGAGAAACTAAACCCGAGATACGACCGAAACTGAGGCTACGTGAATGCACGTGTAAGGGGTCCCCGAGGTCCGTAAGAAGAAGAGTCAGAGAGAGGGAACGCGAGTTCGCTTCGAGGAATCATCTTGTGACACCCACAGACGATCAAGAATGTAATGCCCCGATAGGCCCCAATCCCCCAATCCTGCACTTCCGCGGCCGTCAGGACTCAAGAGACAATCTGTGTCAGATAGTGGCCTATGGCAGGGGCAATCGCAGCTTTTCTGGCTACCAGGCGTGCTGCTGACCCCTTTGACCCAGAGGAGCCTTTCCCAGGCTTCAAGGGGTATTCAGGGGTTCCGGGTGTCGGATATCGATCCACCAGACTCCTTAGTTCTCCAATACCGGTGGTATTATCGCCCAAAGAAGGCAAAGGTTGTGCTAACTAGCCGCGAACGCATTTCAGCATCGGCATGAGCGGGATAAAGTAGGCTGCACATGCTTTTTTCTGGCGAGAGCACCTCAAGCAACCACCTCAACAGCGACGACACGACCCTTGCCACCCTAAACCCTAAACTCTAAACTACTAATTGTCGCGAGCCTTGTTTCGGCACTAGTTGTCACATGACCTGTTTCAGCAGCTGACATTTTCTGAAATCATACCTTGAAACCATGACTTTAGTTGTTTCCACATTTTTTTGTGTGTTTACTACTACTACTACTACTACTACTACTACTACTACTACTACTCCTACTACTGCTACTACTGCTACTACTGCTACTACTACTACTACTACTAGTACTACTAGTACTACTAGTACTACTAGTACTACTAGTAC